ACACACACACGCACACGCACACGCACACGCACACGCACACGCACACAGATGAGCTTTCTCTCAAACATGGGTGTGTATGCCAGAGAGCAACCTTTGGAAACCAGTTCTCTCCTTCCAGGTAGGTCCTGAGAATCAAATTCAGGTTGTCAATATTGGTAGCAGGTATCTTTATTCAATAAGTCATCTTTTGTTTTTTTGGGGGGGAGGGGTTTGAGACAGGGTTTCTCTGTGGCTTTGGAGGCTGTCCTGGAACTAGTCTTGTAGACCAGGCTGTTCTCGAACTCATAGAGATCCACCTGCCTCTGCCTCCCAAGTACTGGAACTCACAGAGCCACCACTGCCCGGCTCACTAAGTCATCTTGCCAGCCCTACTTTTTGTTGTTGTTTATTTGAACCAGGATCTTGCTATGTAGTCCAGGCTAGTATCAAACTTGTTATTCCCGACTCAGTCCTGTACCACCATTCCTGGCTCTACCCTTATAAAGGTCTCTCTGCTTCCTATCTTTGGAGAATATGGGCAGGAATATTACATTTAGTGTGAATGAACAGACTGCTAACCAAGTATCTCCCGGAGAGTATGCCTTGGTACAGCTTGGCTCAAGCCTTGCAAATGTTCTATGAGGGAGAAAGTGTCCACGAGCCGGGAACGAATGGCATCAGCTCTGGGCAGCGGTACATGTCCTTGTTCCTGTGCCATGTCTGTTAAGAAAATAGAACCAAGGGTCATTTCATTCTCAAGAGTTTCATTAGGATTAAGGTTTTTTCTGTTTCCCCACCACTCCTCCCCACCTTCTTTGCCTTTCAGAGACTTAAGGAGCCCATACAAAGAAACCAAGAACAGTTAAGACCAAACAAACGCACTGAAGGGCTCAAATTTTCTCTTTTGATTTTTTTGTTTATGCAAAAGGTAGATATTTCCACAGTCAACTAAATATCCAGGTATTTTCATTTCCTGGCAGCATATTTCCACAGTCAACTAAATATCCAGGTATTTTCATTTCCTGGCAGCATTTGTAATTTATATTTCTTTTTGAAAATTCAGCTTAAGGTGGGGCGTTGGCGGCACACACTTTTAATCTCAGCACTAGGGAGGCAGAGGCAGGTGGATCTCTGAGTTCGAGGCCAGCATGGTCAACAGAGCCAGTGCCAGGATAGGCTCCAAAGCTACACAGAGAAACCCTGTCTCGAAAAACCAAAAAGAAAAAAAAAAAAAATCAGTTTAAAAGGCTGGCAATAGGGACACATACTTGTAATCTCAAGAGGCTGGAGATCTCTGTTGAGTTCGAGGCCAGACTGGTCCGCATAGCTAGTCCCAGGCCAACCAGGGCCACACAGTGATACCTTGTCTTAAAAAATAAAAAATAATAATAATAAAAAGAGCGCTGAGCCTGAGCTTGGTGGTGCAGACCATCAGTATCTGATACTCAGAAGGCTAAGGCCAGAAGATGGGAAAGGTCTAGGCCGGCCAGAATTATAGAACAGTATTATAGGGTGAACTCAAAGCCAATCGGGGAAACGAATCGCTTGCCCAGCACTGTGCAAGGCTCCGGGTTCAATCCTCAATTACCCACCCTCTTGAACAAACGAACAAACAGCAGCAATCCGTGAAAAGGGGGCAGGCAGGAGGGCAGAAGAAGGCCTAAGGCTGGACAAAGAATACAGACCTCACGTGGACCTGACAGAGCAGGATACGAGGTAGGGCAGCGGCAGGATGTAGGGTTACTACGCCCTATAATTGGACAAATCAACAGCTTGGCCTTTGGGAAACGTGTCGTATTGTGTCCAAGTGTGTGAGCGCCCCAACGCCGTGAGGGGGGGAGCGGGGCAGCTCAAGCTCCCCTCCCGGCGGCTTCCGGGCCGCTCTCCAGCCCCAGCGCACTTCC